TAGCGATGCACCTTGTTACTAGTAGCGATGCACCTTGTTACTAGTAGACAAAAGGTTGGATCCAAGAGACGTTTCATGATTTCATGTTGTACGAGACGATGCCCGCGCGCAGACGCGCACAGCGAAAGTCGCAGCGAGGACTCAATGTACCACACCAAGGAGAGACAGCAGGAGAGCGCTGAAATTAATACCTCGTCGCTTGACTGTAGTGTCCGTGAGCTGTGCAACATTCCAACATGCAATTCAATGGCTTGGCTCGAACAATATTGATTCAGTGCAACTTCAACTAAGGGCAGGTCCGTTTGGTTCACAGAGTGACGTGCTTGATTGAGTGACCTCATGCTGTTTTGAGGCTTTCATCCCTCAAAGATTGTATTCGGGCACTCTCCTCTCAACAGAAGGTGCCGTGCTCTCCTCAGATGAAAGGGTAAGATGCCATGCTGCATATGCCTTTATCGCTTCAAGGGTCTTTTGAGGACAACATAGGATAACCATATTTATAGAATTCTAATGAATTCTATATAGATGCATTTAGAAGCCCATTTGGCTGTGTGCGTAGCCCAAAAGTGCTCAAACCCGCCACAACCAATGCTTAGGTCGCACGTTTATCGAACCTCTTCCTTGACCAAAGTTCTGGCTGATGCTTTCATTTGTGGTGACAGAGGGAGGCCATTACATATTGTGCCATGATGCTTCACAAGCTTTAAATGTCGATTCTGCTCCTTTCTGTGTCCGGTAGGTAGGCCCACCACACTTCTTCCAGCCGCTGCGAGGCTGGCTGTGATCTGCACTGCCTCCCCTTGCGCCACAGACACGGAGCATAGCATCAGTACCTTGCGATTGGGTGCTGCCTTGGCGGGCTTCAGCGATACCGAAGAGAAGGATCTGCCTGACTTGTGACTGTGGGGCCGGTGGGGTGATCGTGAGCAATCAGCCGTTCATGGAGCAGAATCTTGAGCGCCATCACACACCACCCTAACGGTACTAAGCGACACGACCACGGAAGCCTGCCTTGATCCTCAGGAGCCACTGGTTGACCTTCTCCGGGAGCATCGTGGTCAGCCTGAAGTCCACCCGAGCCAATGGAATCCGGACTCTTGGAGCCGAGGTCAGAGATGGGTTGAAATGAGCTACTCCTAACCTACATCCGGGATGGCCTCCAACCTACCTACTAGACAACTGATTTCTGTTCATATTGAAATTTAATCCTTGAAAAGATGTGGAGGCCAGGTTCTTGATTCAGAAACGCATTGGTTGAGAAAGCAACTGTTCTATGGAATGCCTGCCTCTCAGGAACAGGTGAGGGTGTCCCATCTGCAATCAGCTGACGTCTCTGGCGGTTCAGTCTTGGAATGGTTTGAGGAGTTGTTTGATTCTCAAGTACACACGTCGTTCGTTGAAAAAGAGGGTCACAACTTGCGGGTGGTGCTGGTTGCGCCATCAATTGAACAAGCCTAGCCTTGAACATCCCTGGATGCATGACAGTTCTGTTGTCCTTCCCAAACTCAACTTTCCAACGAAGATGCTCTAGTTTTTTGATGTTTTTTGCAGTTTCATTTCTTCCGGGATTCATTTGGTGACAACTCCTGCTCATCTTCCACGAATCCCTTCTTGTGGATGCGACCGGATGCTGGTTTGGTCGGTTTTGAGGCCTGGATTGCAGAACTGAAGGGTGACTTTGCGGAGGTGCTGAATGGCCTGCCAAGCAACACGACTGGGCAGATGCTGGTTCGCTTCACCGAATCCCGATGTGTGCAACTGTGAGCCTTGGCCTGATGATACGATGGTCGAGGAAAAGAAACACGTCTAAGCATGTCTAAGCGAGTTCTACCTATCACCATGGTGGCAGTCTAGAATCTGCTGTTTCGCTAGTGAGGCGGGTCTTGACAGACTTAGGTGGCGGCAATGCCCGACGGGGTCAGTTGTTCTTCAAGCTCTTGCACAATGTCATGCAGCGCGCAGATGCCTCCCGGAGACACGGCGTCAAGGGAAATAGCCTGTTGCGGTCCACGAGTGCCGACCGGTCTGGACTGCAAACCGGTGCCCCAAAAAATCGTGCGACCAGAAGCTCGCGGGACAGGAGCGGGAGTGTCGTCGTGTGTGCGAAGTCTTTTTTGGGTATGAGCTGCCCCCTTGGGCACACGCAGTTGAGGGCCATGGTGTACCTCAAATATGCCAAGTCTATCTGAATTTGTTGTGTTTTTTGTTTTGGGGGATCTAGTGGAGCCACAACAGACAGGACACCCAGGTTCTTGGAGGAGCTCCAAGAATTTGAGGGCGGGATTGGGGTTTTCTATCTATCTGAGAGGCCAGGGAACCCAAAAAATCAGACTTTGGTGGCTTAGCACAACTGCACAACCACGCCTCTTTAAAACACAATCCACTCCCTCAAGCGCTCTGCAAACTGACGTTTCGGGGCATGGGACGTGTACGAACTGGAGGGTGGCCAGCGGCGGCATCATGGCCCGAGGGCCGGTTTGTGCGCAGAAGGGGGTCTCTAAAAGTTGTAGGAGTCGCATATGTTCGGAAGATACGATATGGATTGATATGGGTTATGGGTGTGCCATGCATTTTACTAGGAGACTCCCTAGGCCCTTCCAGGGCGTCGAACTGGGAGGTCTCCTTATGTCTATTTACACACGCATATTATTGATTGCCGCAGCCACACCCTTTGGATCCAATCAAGCCCAACGAACATGCACCCAGAATCAGAAACTCCTCTCCAAAGAAGGTATGCAAGGCATGTGAAAATCAGTGGCAAGTTTGGTTACCGTACAGCAGGACATCAAAGAAACCTAGCAAAAATGGATGCCGCCTTCGCTGTGAAGCCTAGCAGCATGGTGCTGACAAGTCCATCCCCAAGATTTTTTGCAGCTGGTGAATGTAGTCAAATGTGCTAATGTAGTCTGGAGACGTCTAGAAATGCCAGCAGCTGCAGAAGTCTCACACACACACAAACACACACACACACACTCTGACATTGGTATTCAGTTACACTCAATTCCC